GTGTTGCAGTTTCTATCTCTGGCTGGGCACGTGGTTAGATTCCCTTTCTTGAACTGCTGACCGCAGTTTCGACATTTGTTGCTTTCGACAATATTTAGGGTTGGTTCGTTTTTTACGTTTTGTGGTCTTTGTATCGCATTATAAACAGGGAACTTTAGGTACTGTTGGTGAATTTTGGTACCTTTCTCGTGGACAAGTACATAAGATAACACGTTTTCTGGGGTTAAGTATTCGATGCGTAGTTTCTTTTGGATATTTATCAACGTTTCGCATATTTATATTTGTAATGAAAATATCTCTGACTAATTCTGACTCGAGTTCACCCAATTTACAATTTTTTGCCAACTCAGATAATGTTTCGTGGAATTTTTCTAATGACTCGTTTTCCCTCTGTCTTCGGCCAAAGAATTTATATCTCTCGTAGGTTAGGTTTGTAGAAACCGTAAATGTAGTTTTAGTAATTCTCAGAATTCAGCAAATATAATGTCCATTATTCTTTTTGCAGGATTTTTGTGTCAGAAGCATTTCTGTCCTTCTCTTCCAAAAGCCAGGTATAATTAAGATTTTAGTTTCTTGTTGATATCTCCGATTTGAAGTCCGTTGAATTTTACGTTATTTTCTGTCTTTCTCCTTCTCATCTCTTCGTTGTAATCTTGGATGACGGGATTGGTCATCAGAAGTATCCGTTCGTTCAGCTATAGGGTATGCTAGTTCGAGTCTTGCCGGGGGTTGATTACGTCTTCAATGTCCACCGAATCTTTGGCGATAATTGTTAGTTGCAACTTTTCCGATCATTTTCCCAGTCGTGTTGGTTTTCACTCGATGTGTTATTCCAAAAAAACTCTAGTCCTCGTAGGTTCGACTCATTTGACTGCGCCATATTGAAAAGTTAGGATAAAACCGTCGATTGGTTTAATCTCATAACTTAAACTAAGACTAGTTCAAGACTCGTTGGTTTAAGATCCCCACTATTAAGATAGTAGGCTTTTATCTAAGACTAGAATAAAAGACTAAAGGGTATCAAGAATTAGAGTAAAAAGGTTGAATTAAGAATTAGTTACACAGAATTGGTTACGTATCAATAAAGATTAATGATCGATGTCCAGATCTACCAAAAGCCGTTGCGCTTTTGGCAGGTATTTAAAATAGCATGGTCATAGGTAAGTATAACTTAAAAGTTAAACTGTCAACTATAAGAAATCACATTTGACAGTATTGTAGTTTTGTTTTTATTTTAACTTACTTTCCTTCGTAGAAACTCTGTGAGATCAACCAGTTTGTACAATTATGTACAATTAAAAATACAAGTGCAGATAAGTAATTTCGTTCTGTTATTTTCATTTAGTTTTGTGTAGTTTGTAAAATTTGTTCATACTAATTTGAAGGCGGACATGAGTGCATATAGAATTAGTTTTAGGTTAAATGTTAAGTTTTTCCTTTGTTGAATGTTGTGCTTTGTTTTATCATGTAGTCTTATGAACTCAGCTATTGATTTGATACCGGTCAAGTATATCATGAATCAACCATTGATCGATCATTGAATGTTCGTGTTAGTTTTGGAACAGTTATTTCACTTCAACGCAGTTCTGATTTGTTTTATTAGTTGAACGTAGATTGTACACATTTTTTTCTACATTGAATCAATCATTTTTTAAGACCATTTGTAGCCAATCATTTTGATTAAAAATCCGTGCAATCTAAAAAAAGTTCAACACTTTATAGGCTTTTTGTTCTCATGTCTTTCCAGTTTTTATTGGGTTTTTATTGGGTTATTGGGTCTCAGATTTAGTGATGAGGCTAAAGGTTAAACTGTCAACGACAAGATATCACATCTGACAGTAATGTAGTTTTTTTTTTAAACTTACTCTCCTTCGTAGAAACTCTGTGAGATGTACAAATAAAAAACCCAAATGCAGATAAGTAGTTTCGTTCTGTTATTTTCATTTAGTTTTTTGCAGTTTGTAAATTTTGTTCATACTAACTTGAAGGCGGACATGATTGCATATAGAATAAGTTTTAGATTAAATGTAAAATTTTTCCTTTGTTGAATGTTGTGCTTTGTTTTATCATGTAGTCTTATGAACTTAGCTATTGTTTAGATACCGGTCAAGTATATCATGAATGGACCATTGGTCGATCATTGAATGTTCGTGTTAGTTTTAGAACAGACATTTCAATTCAACGCAGTTCTTATTTGTTTTATTTTTTAAATTAGTAAAAATGGATTGTACATAATTTTTTATAACATTGAAGCACTTTATAAGACCATTCTCAGCCAAGTAATCTGATTGAAAATCCGTGCGTTCTAAAAAAAAATTCAACATTTTATAGGCTTTTTGTTCTCATGTTTTTCCAGTTTTCATTGCGTTTTTGGTGTTCAATAAAAAATTGAAAAATAAATGCAGCAAATTAGAATAAAGTTTGACTAAACCTCTGGAAAAAAAGCCAGGATTAGTTTTAATTACAGGCATTATCCGTTTATTATTGTTGTTGCGACGACTTTCGAAACAGGGCGGACGATCTATGATAAAAAGTTGACATATTCAGCCAATTCTGACTACCTCATTCCGACCGCCAGTTCTGATACCGTATACTGAAGAGCTCTATAACTTTTCAGTCGTTATTCAAATTTTTTCAGTCTCAGATTTAGTGATGAGCAGAAAAAAATAGATACAAAATTAAGTTAAGTATCTCTAGAATTTGGTTCCCCCGTCGGACCAAAATCCCGGTGCTTTCCCAGCGAGAAGGACACAGTCAACTTGATCAAAATTTTGCTCAGTTATTCAATCCAATAACTTTTATTTGTATTTTTCCTATCAGTTTTTTCAAATTATGTACATTTATTGAGTAAAACTTGGTATTGTAGTTTCAAACAAAGTGTAGATAAATATTTTCATTCTGTTCATTTCAATTAGTTTTGTGCAGTTTTTAAATTTTGTTCACCCCAATTGGAAGGCGGAAATGGGTGCATATAAATTTAGATTTAGATTAAAATCAATTATTAAATTTTTTCCTTTGTGGCATGTTGTGATTTGAATTTTCATAAATTCGACACCCCAGCAATCTGGGTCGCCACACCAGCAATCTATTTATTTTAGCCAGAAAAAGGAAACTGTCCCCTCCAAAGAAGGCCCATCGGACTTTCTCAACTCAGTCGACTCCCGGAAACATCCAAAACTAGTGGCATGGCGTCTGAGCCTACACTTCTAGACAGCTCTCCAGAGGAACACTTGAAATAATACGACCTTCATGAAAAATCAGCAAATTGAATAAAGTTTGATTTAATCTCCGGAAAAAAACAGGATCAGTTTTAATGAGTAATCATTATCCGTTTATTATTGCTGTTTCGACCACTCTCGAAACAAGGCGAACGATCTATGGCAACAGGTGGACTTTTTCAGCCAATTCTGACTATCTCATTTTGACCGCCAGTTCTGCTACCGTATTACAAAGGAGCTCGCAATCGAGGTTATGATTATTAAATGAATTTTTTTCTTAAAAGAAAACGAAGTTTCTTGGTATGAAATAAAAACGATTTTTATGGAAACAAACAAAGATTTTTCAAATCATACTTTGCAAGGATAAAAGCGGTCAGAAAATTTGATACTAATGGCACGGAACCTATTTGCTCTTGTTTCTAGCTTTTCAAAAATCTCATTTTGGCAACAATTTTAGATAACTTGACAAAATTTGTCAAGTTCGGCATGATATCAAAACCTTTTCAGTCGTTTTTTAAATTTTTTTCAGTCTCATATTTAGTGATGAGCGGAAACAATTGAGATAGAAATTTGCGAGACAAACAATTCCTTAATTCAAATATCTTTTCTACACTTTAAACCTATCTTTTAACTCTATCTCATAATAATTTCATAAGAGAAAAATTTATTTTGAAAAATTGGGGCTTAATTTTTTCTGTGATACTTTTCGCAATGAAAATTTAGTATTCATGATTTAACAAAATAACAAAAATAAAACTTTTATGTTCAATTCGTCCTCGAAACTTTGTTGTTCAAAACTTTTTTTGCTTCAGTTTTGTTGTTCTTTATTCCAACTTTAAATTTTATTAAGCAAAGTGTCGGAGTTTGACATGAAGTTATATGTGTTTGACCATTATCAATAACTATTTTCTTCACTATCCTCGATGCAATTGAAAAAGGTGGCTTTCTCCAAAAAAAAATAAACTAAAAAATAAGATGTTTATTAAAAAAACTCAACAGGATTGATTTCGAACGGAAACTCAAAAACTAACTGTCGAATTTGTACGGAACGCTTCCATAATTTGGATTCTTGCAACGGTCAAAAATAAGACCACGGATTAGAGATGTAGAGAGTTTTCTTGGTGAATTATTTGATCATAAAACTAATGATTTTAAGATGCTTTTTCCGTGCTGTATTGGAAAAACCAAAAGGTGCTATGCAATATGTTTCTGTGCTTTGTTTGATCAATCAAACAAACAAAATAAAAAGTGAAAAACTATGAGGTGGCTGGAAACTTTTTCCATCGGCGATGATTTTGTTTATGTTTTTCATTTGTTTTATAGCACATAAGCAACATCCTCTATTGCATCTGGAAATGTGTTCAGACCTCAACACTGCGGTTCTTGATTTGAGCCACAAAAATTCTCGATGCAAAATTTTGTTGTTGTTTATCTAGTTTAAACTGCATGAATTTTGTTTTTTAGCAAAGCCAAGATTTTCACAAACACTAGCTTCGCAAACACTAGCGAGAACACAACAAAAAAGTAGCTTTATCAAGAAATAAAAAAAATAGAAATAAGCCTCGATTAAGAAATAAGCACTAACCACTCAGTCACGGACGCTTAACGATGAACAAACACTAGCCATGTATAAAGCAGAAAACAGATGCTATGAAATTTCCAATGCTACCAATCGTGATTATAGCCAAAGTGCTACCAAATGAGCACTTTTATTTGAGAGTTAGCTTGAAAAAAAAGAGAGTCCGTACTAATACGCTATTCTCGCAAGTTTACTAGTGTAAATATATAAATTTGTGATAAATTATTATCTGCTGAATTTGATATAAATAATATCGATACAATACAGTCGATCGAATCAAATTACATAAAATTTGACAAAACAAGCGTATTTAAATTACAGAGAAGGAGATTTAGATTAGAGTGTAACATAAAAGTAGAACTCTAGCAGCAAAAATTATCTTGATGGCACCAGCTTTATCAAAACTCTGCTTGGTAGCATCATTAGCAGGATGTCTTCTAATTAGCAAAAGAATTCATCGTCCAAAAATCGTTCAAAATTTTCTCATTTTAAACTTGGCCGTGACTTTAGATAAAAGTGTGCACCCTAATCCCAATTGATGGCCTTTTTCATTGTTGTTATCTGTCATTTCCATTTGGGTAACAAAAAATGTTTTTGACGATTGGTGAATAGGAATATTGAACCCAATCAAATTCGAGTTTCAAAAAATTCCCAAAAAATGTTTTTTTTTCTTCAAATGATGCACAATTATTTTTTACTATTTAAACTATGCACATTAATTTATGTTTGATTTCGATTATCAAAGGTCACAATTAATTAAAATGCCGCATAACTTACAGCTGACGCATCGATTACAGATAACAATCTACTTCCTTGTACTGTACATGAGTTCAGCTTCAAATACGATATTACGTAATTATACTGAAGGTAATTTAGCAATTGATTTATCTGATGTTTCGACGGACAGAATAAAAGGAGACCTAACAATTAGTTGAGTCTACTTTCAGATCTCGACTCTCTTGGCCATCAGCATCATCAGGTGTGGCTCTCGATCCAGATGTTGGAAGTAGTCTCGTTGTGACTAAATGGTATATTGCGTAGAGGGGTATCCAAATCAGGGCAGTGAAAATGAACATCCAGCCGATTAGTTGAGCCCAAACTGGGTAGACATAGTCTGCATATTTGAACTCGGAGGGCGAAGTCATTTTTTGGTAGATTGCAAACACCAGAATGGCCTGTGAGAACCAGAGGTCCGGATTCAGAAGACATATAAACATCTTTTTAATGAATTATAACTTACACCAGATTAATTTTTTCTCTAGATTGATAAAATTTACTAGATTACTCTTTTTCGCAGTTTCAGGAATGTAACAGTGGTCACATGTTATAACTTTTCGACGAATCTTTTTTGATCGCCCTGAACTTCATCCAATATGAAAATTTTAGCAACACAGTCGTGCAATTAGTTGCTTGAAAATGACAGACGAGGCCTAAGTAGTATTTGAATAGTGCTCACACTGATAATGACAGGGGATAGAAATGTCCAGCAGAAATTGAACCAGCAGATCAAAATTGACTTGAAGCCCACCATCTGCTCAATGTCACGCTTGTACCTGGACAAAATCAACCACATGTCAGCATTTACCTGTTCACATGCAAAATAGCAGCCAAATACGGTTGATGAACTCTTGTGAAAGTCATTAATGGGTCTTGGATACAAGTAGAAAGCGAAATACAAATTTTAGAATATTCCTGTTTGGAGTTTACTCTCTGGACTTATTCAAACTAATTTTATCAAAAAGACACGAAGAGACATTTATATCGCTGCAGAAAAAGGGTTTCGTTTCTAGGAACCCAACACTGTAAAAAATTTAAATGAACTAAAAAAGACCTATGTTATTTTGAAGTAATATGATGACTAGCCTGCTGAATCCGTAGCAGTACATGAGGGGAGTGATCTGGCACAGTCCGATGGAGAGGAAGATGAGACCACTGGCACCATAACAGTCCCACAGGTTGAACACAAAGATACCTCCCTAAACATTGAGGCCATTCGAACCAGTTCTAAACTAGTATTTATATCCAATTAATTTATTGATAAAGTGATCCTTATAAAATATTACTAACTAACCAATCATATTCCATCTCTAACATTGACACTTATTTGTAAGTGGTGAAACTACTTGTAGTTTCAGCACCAGAACAATTTGAATAAATCTTAGACTACAGTTGTTCTCCTTCTGGATAAACTCCAAGAACTAACTCGCGAAAACCAGTATACATTAGATCTATTGGTACTAGGAGATATAAGAGTAAGATTGGTATTAGACTAAGAAGTTGCACGAATCTATCCGGCCGAAAATAAGATAGCGTGATGAAAAGACGGTGTACCTTATCTGAAATTACTCTATGAGTACAGACCAAAGGTCATAACTCACCATTCATCTACTAGAAAGCAACCAGCTAATAAGTTGTTCAGCTCTTTATTGAAAACTGCTATTGTCACCCGATTACGAAATTCAAGCGCCGTAGAGGCTTAGCCATAAGAGGCCGATTGTTGCCGAACGTGTATTTGGGCTAGTCCAGTCTTGCTTATAGATCAGTAAAAATTTGTAATGTAGTATGGGTGCCAGAGAGGAAGGAAAGTTTGTGAGACCTTTAACTCTATTCAGAAAGTTTGAAACTGTAAAATTTTAATCGGTATAAAACGACGGTGGAAACAAAATTTGTGTCACCCTGGAGCAGTGAGAAGTGATATCACGGAGGGCCTCAACGCATCTGCGAGGCGACAATTCGAAAACATGGTCAATGTAAAGTTAGAAAATGATCAAATTTCTAAACTTAAAAACTATTTATAATTGACGCTTTTTGAAAAAAATAAACCCCATTTGAGAAAACTGGATTAGCATGTAAAATTTTTTTGACCTTTTCCTTTTTGCTTTTCGATAGTGAAGTTTCCAAACACAGAAAATGAATTGAACTTAAAAAGAAATCAAAAGTAAAACGACACCAAAAGTAAAAAATTTGATTCAAATTTGAGCGTGAACAATCTTAAAGACTTTTTCCTTAAAAAAACAAGAAATCATCACGACTTATATTAGAATCTTCACTACGTTCCTTGGCTCTTAAAAAAACTAAAAATCATCAACAGTAACAATTCCTAATAGTAGATTAAGCAGCAAACACTGATTCACTCGCACCAAACCTTTACAGCCAAATATACTGCAGCGGCGCAAGCGGTCGCTACTTGACAATGATTTGTTACGAACTGTCGACTGTAACAAATTGTCGCTGTTTACAAATTGTCGCATATAAAGAACTGTCGCTTGTAACGAATTGGCCCCTGTATCGAATTGTCGCTTTTTATGAGTTGACGCAGGTAGCGAATTGCTTGATTGTTACAAAAATCATCATCAAATCATCATCTGAGTTCAATTTTGTCACCCCTTTTTGAAACTCAGAGGTGAGGAGAAATTTTTTCGGCCCGAAGCTAGGCCTGTTTTAGATGTCTGCTGGATATTCTTCGACCTTGAGCTAGGTCTGCAATAGCCACGTTGTTATATCTTCGGCCTTGATCTAGGCTGATATATTTGTGCTACCGAGAGTCTTCAGCCCAGAGCTAAGCCTGTGATTCACTTCTTAAAAAACAAAAAGTTAAAATTCAGCCCTGATCTGGGCCCGGTCTCATCTGATAGACATTGATTTTCTTTTCAGCTTATTAAAAGCTTCCCGAAAATCTGCTGCCAGTTCTCTGACGTGCTTTGCATCTGGATGGATGCCACCAGCGCTCATGTGATGGCGGTATCTGAATTTTCTGTGATTGTAGAAAGGGACTTTCAGCTCCCTCGCTAAACCTTGATAGCAGCCGTTTAGTGCTTTGCTAGTGCTGTATTTATCCCTTCTGCTCGATAGTTCCATTAGTTCAACATTGTATCCGTGAAATTTCAAAATACGAATCAGATAGTACATTTGATCAGCCGTTTCTACTGGTCCCATCAATCGTCGATTCTCTCGATCGAAGAGGTTATTGGTTCCTCCCATGACTATTATGTTTTTTGCACCCGAGTTTCTGATATCTCTCAGAAAATTGTCGCTGCACATTGTGGAGATGGCTCCACCTGGGCACGAAATAGTCATTGTATTCTTCAGGAATACTCCAAACACTAGCAAGGATCCTAGCACACAGTTGTTCACTTGGTTGGTAGAAGTATAGATTATTCTCCGAAATGGCTGTCTTTTGCTTTCAACAACACAGCGATGATTTGCAAGTGATCTTTGACCTCTAACTTTGAGAGGCAAAGCCCTCAGCCGATATCCCACTACTCCTCGTTATCTCTTAAATTATAACTAGCATGGCTTTTTTTTCTTTCCTTACACCTGCGATTTTTGTCCCGACCATTGAAAATGGGAAGGAACTTTGTATTCGGGTCTTTTTTTAGTTTTTATTCTTTTTGTTTTTCACGCAAAATCAGGCAAAACCACAAATAATGATCGGACTGGGTTGAGTGATATATCATATTAAAGCCTTTACAGTCGTGATTTAAACCACATACAAAATTTTAAAAAAGTTTTCCCAGTGTCGAGAAAAACCGGTTGGAATTTTATGATTTGTTGTCTTATTTTGAGCGAATAAAGCGAGCGAGCAGTCTTATTTTAATTGCTTAAAAACATACAAAAGCTTAATTTAAAACGTAAAAACTTAGTTTTACTTGGGTAACGCTAGTTTACTATGAGTATTTTAGCGCTTTTTTGAAATCAAAATTTTCAAAATTTCATAAAACTGCAAAAAAAAAATTTGAAAAAAAAAAAATTTCTTTTTCGTTTTTCTAGTAAATTTTCTACAAAAGAAATTTTTCGATTTGCTTATTTAAGTATGGCTGTCGGCTTTACTTAATCCACAGTTTTTTGTTCAGCTCCTTTTATCACACCACGCCGAACAACAAGACAATAATTGGAAAAAACGTTGTTGTATTTTTTAAAGACTATGGTCAGAACATTCTGTACTACTTGCACAGTAACCGGCTATCCTTGTTTTTACTTGTTAACCTTTTACTCCCACTGGGCTATTCCGAACTTATTAGGTTTTCATATAACTGCTCGTTACGCCATAAAATGAAGCAGGGAAAGTAGGGAAATGATGCAGGGGCGGAAAAAGAGCCTTGGTGATCATGGTTACCTTGAGGACAATGGTCGCCAAGAGCCTATGGTTATTTGGTGCCTATAGTTACCTTCGAGACCATAGTGAGTCCCACTATGAATTTTGCGAGGCAGACAGCGAGGGTGAACATGGCCTGTCTGGAGGATGTCTTCCGGAACTGGGGGAACACATCCAGCAGAGAACAGACGAATGACTCCACGGCTGCATACTGAACACAACATGCAAAGTAAAAACAGATTGATATGGCTAGATATTGTTCTTAACTTGAGTTAAATTTGATATTTGAAGCAGGAGCAAACTTATGAGGGTAAATTTTTAATAACAAAAGAAAATTTGGCGGCATTTCTTATCGGCCGAACAATGTAGATTTTTCGAGCTCTTCGCATTGTTTTTCTAACATTGGCACCTTCAGAAACTTTAAGAACTGATCAACCCAAATTGAACATCGTAAACTATTACTTGCGGTGGATCAATTAGGCTGCCATGTTGGCGAACGCTTGAGGTCACGTCATCTGCCCCCTCCCCCTAAACTCGCCTTTGAAACGTTATCTAACAACGTTAATGACACTGAAAATAAAGAAATTACAAAAAAATCCAGCAAAAAAAAATAAAAACAGAAACAAAAAAGGCATCACTGCCAGAAAAACTATTTAGAAAACATGAACACAGCTTCGATCGAAAATATGTTAAAGTTAATTATAGTAATCAACAGTTTGAGGGCTGTCCAACCTGTCCGTCGACTCCTAGGAGGAACACCATGAAGAAGAAGAGGACAGACCACACATTGGGCAGGGGCAGCAGACTCACTGCCACTGGGTACATTTTGAAGATCAGACCAGGCCCTAAAATGAATCAGAGTAGTAAACAATATTAACAATTTTAAGTATTGTGTTAACAATTAAACAACTTTAGTAAACAATAAAAACAAATAGTAAAACACTCATTTTAAATTCTATTAATTCCAAGAAAAATAGTAACCATAGCCAGCAGTGAGTTAGAAAAATGTTAATGAACGAACTCAAGGAAACAGAAAAAAAAATGTCGATTCTTTGAAAAGTTCGAAGAGTTTCAAGAAGAACATTCAATCTTTTTTATTTCACTAATGTTGTAGAATTAAATATAACTTTTTCGAGCTTGGACGAGCGAATTTAATTCTTAAATTGAGTAAAAATTGAAAATTTCCCAAATGGCACTGATTCCGAATTTTTGCTCCAATCAAACTTAAGTTTATCAAAACAATACAATTTGTGTACAATGTTTAAGCGTAATGCTTTCAAAACAAATGATGAGAGAGAGTTTTGCTTCAAAATTCAAGCGCAAGAGATTTTTACAGTTTTATTAACATCATCATCATCATCATCTTTTCTACATTTGTCAATCTGCTGCGGGCAATTAAATTTGAGAAAAAAATTCAGCCAACAACTAAAATGACAATTTTTTTTATCTGAGAGCGTAATTTGGACTGCGTCCCAAACAGCATCATTACCAAGAACGGAAAGTTGTTTGGTTGTGAATTTAATAGCTGGTTGACATTTTTTAAATGCACTGAACAAAATTTGATGTAAAACTGTGATATTACGATGCTCGCATATTTTTGAAAAAGAAAACATAGCCAACTTAAAAAAAGAAGTAATGAACGCAAGAAAATTGAAAAAAAAACCGACTTGCTTTTTCAAAACTCTTCAACTTTTGAGTTTCGAAGATAAAAATAGATGGCCTAAAAGCTCTTTGAATTTGTAGAACAATTTATGATGGAAACTTTTATTTCGCTGGGAAATCTGATAACTAATTTCCATTTTCGAAATTAGAAGTCGATCAAGTTTTTCGTGAACTTTACAAACTTGCTGTTCGACAGTGGAGTTTGCCTTCCTTTTCAAAAAAGAAATGCATTGAACTTATAAAAAAAACCGCGAAAGATCAAAACTGAGCGTGAACAAATTTTAAGACTTTTTCCTGAAAAAAAAAATTAAAAAAACAGTAAGACCTAAATAAGAGTACTCACTACGTTCATTACTCTTAAAACCAGTTTGGGCGAAAAATTTTAAAATTATACAAAAAGGAAAATCTCCAATTTTTAGCAATTAAAGAATCATGTCAATTGAGAAGTCACTCAAGTTTGCTTTCAATTACGTTACTGAATTATAATACCACCTTAAAAATAATCAAAGGTCAAAGATAGACAAAGTTAGAACTTTTTGGAAACAAAACAAACAAAAAAAGCGCACTACCAAAATAGCTGAAAATAACCGGTGCACTTCGCTCGTTAGCACCTAGAACTTTCTTGTTGGAGTAGTTTTTTGATCAAATTTAATTAAATTGAGAAAATCAGGTCCTCAAGTAAGCTTTTTGTAGAGGAGGTGAAACAACTAAAACCTAAATCAATTTTTGCGCTATGTTCGCATTTGGCACGCCAGAGCTTATTTAAGATGCTTTTTCGACTTAATTGAAAAACGTTCGAATCAGATCTGAAACGGTTTATGACATATAATAAATATTGCAATCTTGTCTGTGTGTTATCTGATTTCGATCGAACAAAAACGTGACTTCCCAAATGATTTAATTTTTAAATTGCATATATTGAAAATTCAACAAATTACTTCAATTCCAAATTGCTCCAATTAAAATTAAGTTTATCAAAATGTAAAACTTGTGTGCAATATTTAAGCGCATTTCTTCCAAAACAAATATTGAATGAGAGTTTTGCTTTAAAACTCAAGTTCAAGAGATTTTTAGAGTTTCCTTAAAATCATCATCATTATCTCGGCAGGGTAAATTATTGCAAAAAGAGCATAGAATTCGTGCCATTTGGGACAACTTCATTCTTTCTTTCATGTGGGAATGATGTAAAACCAAGACTGATCAAAAACCAAGTTTCCATCTAATCAAGTGGTTTGAGTTATTTAACAGATGGGAAGCTGACTTCACCATCACAGGCAAAAAACGGTAAGAGAGCTCTGAAAACGCCAGCAACAAAAAACGCAAAAATTATACATAAAACAAACGGCAATGAATACACGAATTGGACGACTTCTTTTTTTTGCAGCAACAACATCTACAACAACACAAAAAATATTTACTGTAAGGAAAATCGAATCCAATTTTGTTTTCAATTTCTTTACTGAAATAAATAAAATGCCACTTTAAAAAGATCAAAAGATCAAAGATAGACAAATTTAGATTTTTTCTTGAAAACAAAACAAAAAAAAACAGCGCACGACCAAAATCACTGAAAATAATTGATAAACTTTGCTCATTAACACCTAGAAATTTTATGAGTGATAATGTTCCAATGAAAATAAAGTAAATTGGGGAAACCAGGTCCTCAAGTAAACTTTTTGTTGAGGTGAAGCAACTAAAACTTGAATGAAATTTTTGCGCTATGTTCACGTTTGGTATTCCAGAGCTTATATTACTTTTTTTTCGAAATAATTGAATACGAATGAGTGCTGAAACGGTTTTGGACATACAATTAGATCTTGCAATCATGTCTTCGTGTTACCTGATTTCAATTGAACGAACAGGTGACTCCCAGGTGACTTAATTCTGAAAGTGCGTAAATTGAAAATGTTACATAATTGTCACGTAAATTGTATTAATTTCTAACTTGAGATCCAATTAACTTGAAATTTATAAAAACTGAAACCTTGTGCACAATTTTTAAACGTTATGCTTTCAAAACAAATATTGAATGAGAGTTTTGCTTTAAAATTCAAGTTCAAGAGATTAACAAACTCATTAACAGTATCATCATCATCTTTTCTAAATTTGTCATTCTTCTGCGGGTAATTAAATTGAAGAAAAAATTTCAGCCAACAATTGAAATGGCAATTTAACCAATTTTTACACATTTTGCACTACATTATTTCGAAACGGTTAATTATTGAGTTTCGAGCATAGTTCATGCCATTTGGGACATTTATTTAAGACTTAATCAAAAATCAAGTTTCCTTCCAGTCAAGCACTTTGAGTTATTTAACAGATGCTAAGCTGCACTTCGCCAATACAGGCAAAAAAACGGCAAAATAGCTCTGAAAAACGGCAGCAAAAAATACAAAAGTTATTTACTGTATAAAAAATCGAGCCCGAGATTGTACCCCTGGTCTTACACAAGATTCTAATCCGAATATTCTGATTAGGAATCTCGTGCCATTATCACTGGGTCCTGGCATCTTGATCTAGACTACGTAGACTACTAAGTTTTAAAGCGCTTATAATCAGTACATGTTCTTTAATTAACCATTAACTCTGCAAACACTTCTCACTAAATTGTGCGACTTTGCTTGGAAAAAGCATCTTATCGTAAGACACAACGCTCAAAAACTAGCTTGTACAAACAAAAATTAATTCAATTGAAGCCAGCATAAATGTAAATCTAGCCATGCCATGTTATCAGTTACAAAATTAATATGGCGTAAACTGAATAGTGTTAAATGGATTCTCGACAGTCTTACCCGAGTCAGTGATCGCCTCAATGGGAACTCCTGCTTCGTGAGAGAGATGTCCCAGCACGGAGAATACAGCGAAGCCAGATAGGATGCTGGTGCAGGGGTTAGCCACTATCACTATCATAGAATCCCTAAAACGATTCCAGGTCCATAAAATAGAAGTTTTTAGAGTTCCTCAGTAAATTATAAATTTCGAAAATTTTCATCACTGTTTTCAGTTGGGTTTTTGATTTTCTGTGAAAAGAGTGAGACACTTAAGCTTCTTTTGTACTTGATTTTGGTATGTAATTATCTTGAATAACTATACATTCAATAGCATTTAGTGATTGGAGTATGGCGTGTGAAAGCGAGAGGGCCTAGAATTAGTTGAGTGTACCTGAGGACGTTGTTGCTGTAGTGGTTGTGGCTGGAGAGAGTGATCAGCCCCCCACAGCAGACTGCGTAGGAGAAGAAGATCTGAGAGGCTGCATCTATCCACACCTAAAACAAACACAAACATACACTCAATCACAAACTAAAGACATCAACACAAAAAATATATGAATGAGTGCTGGGTCATTCCAATCAGCATAAAAAATAGTTAATTTTATGAAAACAGCACGAAAATTTTGAAGGAAGAGGGCCGTTTTAAAAATTTTATCGACCTTTTTTAAAGTTCTTTGAGAAAACCCAAACAAGCTAGTATACCACAGTTTTCTGCGCCCAAAAAAGCTTCTGGTTCAATGGTCTCAATGAGTCATGTTTGAAATGATTTGGCCGAGAATTCGCCTTACGTCAACCCAAACACCCAAACCTCATAAGTGTAAAATGATGCCTTATGAAAAAATTTAGCATCTTCTGTCGAACAGTGGTAAAATAGTACCCAAAACAGACCTTTAGGAGAAATGGCAATCAGAATTGCGAGGGGCAGCTGACATGGGTCGATGTTTGCGATTTATGTCTCGGCCGTCCAACCCAAGCATGATGTTTCGAATATGTTCGACCAAGGAAAAAAATGTACAATTGCTCGACCGAGGAAAAACAGTTCGACCGTGTTCGGCCGAGGAAGAATATTTTGACCGAGTTCGACCAAAAAGTATTTTCGAACACAAAGAAATTTGACTGAGGAAAAACAGTTTGACTAAGCAATAATTTCGATCGAATGAAGTTTGACCGAGGCAAAAGCATTTCGAACAAGTTCGACCATGAAGTAATTCCGAACGAAAAAAAAAATCGGCCGAGGAAAACATTTGACAGAGTTTGACCGGTGAAAAGATTTCGATCGTGTTCGACCACAAAGTATTTTTACCCAAAGTAAATTTATAATTATGCTTTTCGCGTAATATCTGGCATAGCGAGATTTTTTTTTAATTGAACTGCTCAATAAAAGTGAGTTTTTATTTTAGTTTTGCTATAAACACTAAAAAGGTTCTAAAAATTAAAAATTACCTCCGCGGGAGCCCTTACATTTTAAAATTTGAAGGAAGCAGCTTGAAATTTTTATTTGAGGTAAACAGTTCTTCTCGACGGTTGGTAAACTGAGTACTCTGATATGGAGGTTATCGTAACACGACAACTCGCAACAAAAGACAACTCGCAAACAAAGACAACTCAAAAAAATTACCAATTCTGACAACTCGCAAAACGCATTAATTCGCAATAAACTCGTAAGATAATCCTTTAATTACCCCTAAACTAAGACCCGTAATCCCAACATTAAAAAAATCAATTAAATTTATACTTAATTCAAAACAATTATTGAGGAAAGATATAAGTCTTTTTGTTCGTTTAACACAAAAACGGATTCCAAAATCTTGATTCCGTTAATTGGTATATCATCATTTTGGTTTCTAAATGTGGAGAAAAAATTAAATCATTTACATTCAGTGATACCTCAAGAACGAGAAGTTATAAAAAGCAACACCTCCGGTACCGCAACACTTCGCAATTTCAGCTTTCTAAGCAACAACATTTGAGAAGTAAGTTTTGTAGACGTGTCTTAGTTTTTTTAGGATTTCTCGAAATAAAAATTCAAGAAATTCGGTTCAAAAAAGGGTGAAAAGCATGACCGTTAAACTTACATAGCAGGTAAAAATCGTTGGGGAAAATTCGAAAAACCAAATTTCGACAAATAGTTTCAAAAAACATTCCTCACTTCTTGCACTACTTCTGGGGGGCAAAATGTAAATTTCCAAAATGTTTTAGTGTCATGCAAAAAGTAAAAGAAAGAGCGAAAAACATGGAAGAACATCCCGATCTATTGATCAAAACGTAACGAGCGCCGTTTCTGATGCGTGCGCAGCAAACATGCCCAAATTTACTTCGGTTGCAAGAGCTATTCAACGAGAAAGAGAATTTGGAGTTGTGCCAAACACCGTGGAGGACATAGGAACCTGAAACCACTCTAAAGGGGAGAGATTCTTGGCTCATTACATGGGCCGAGGGATTCCGACCGACTTCTCGAGTTCACCTCTGAGGCAAACTTCTGAGTTTTACACTGTCTGAGGCAGACATTCTAGAGCGCACATTTAAAAGTTGTCCCTCATTATTCTATCAAGTATATACTGTACATGCTGTTATTAATAGCTGCTCCCATCCAAAGGTTTTCTTTCTGTTGCTACAAAAAAACTCAACAGCAATATTAACAAGCATTTCGTGTGTTACGTGAACTTAACCCTTTATTAGAACCAACGCAAAATGTTATTGCTTTCGAAGAAGCTGCAATTTCAGCTTTCAAATCGCAATTAGCCACAGCATCCGTAAAATGTTGCTTTTTACATTTTGCGAAGACCAATTGGCAAAAACTATAAGAATTAGGAGTGGCCGTTGAATACAGAAAAGACAAAGATTTAAGAAAGAAAACGAAACCAATGAGTGCGACTTGATGTTGGCAAAAGAAGCTCTCTACGCAACAACAATTGAGAATGATCAGCTCCATTCATATCTCGATTATTTCGAAAAAACTTGGGTGGGGCAATATGCACGAGGAATTCTACGAAAAGATCCAGATTTCAAACAAGCTATATGTAACCAGTTCAGCAATGCGATAAAGGCAATGCGAGAAAGGCAATAAATCGAAAAACCTACAACTTGGTCGAAGAATGGCCTAGAGCTCTTCAATAAGGAATAGGTTATGCTCACCCCATTATATCACAATTCATTCAGCAAATTAGGAAGTACCAATGTTTAACGGAAAACGGTCTGATTCGGTTCAAATATGGAGAACAGCCCTATAAATGTCCCAAATATGAACAATTGCAACAAAGGATATCAGAAACTCTTAAAAAAACTATCAAAAAATTGATCTTATTTCGCAGCCCCTTTATACCAAAAAAAATTTTTGACGCAAGGCTTTGATGTTTTACCGCTTTTTCGTTTCACATTTAGATTAAAGAGAAATTTAATTTTCTTCCGAGTTGATACGAGTTGTCTTTTTTTGCTAGTTGTCTTTTTCTTAAGAATTTGAAAAGTCTCTTGGTTTGCGAGTGGTCTTTTGTTGCGAGGTGTTGCGGTACCAGAGGTTCTTAAGTAAGCGCAAAATTTTTGCTCAAATTATTAAACAAAACGTTCAAACAATAATATAGGAACTTTCAACAATTTTAAGTTTTGAGCTTGAATTCGACTTCATGTGTCAACTTAGTCCTCACAAATGAGTTCGCAGCGCTCCGCAAGTACACCTCTGATCAGACGTTTATTTAGGAAAATTGGCAGGTTTAACATTTCACTGAAAGCCAACGACAGTAAGGTATCACACGCGAGTAGTTTGCCCTCAGACTAGACTGACCTGTGCTTCTTTTAGCTTGTCCATGTTTGGTTTCAGGTAGAACACTATGCCCTGCAGTGAGCCCTCAAGAGTGAGTCCCCTGAGGATGAAGCAGAAGATGAGGACATAGGGGAACAGCACCGTGAAGTACACTATCTTCCCACTGATCTTGATGCCCCTGATGACACACAACAAAAAAGTCCAACACAACACTAACATCTCCAAGTTAATAAGTATCGATGAAAAAGGCGCCTTCAGTAATTTGTAGGGTTGCTCCATCTATTCGCAAAAAAAAGTTAACAAAAGATTATCGCAAGTAAAATATACAGTTAACAACTATCAAATCGCTTGTAATTGATTGTATTTTACAATTGAGTTAATTGATTCGACGATTACCAAAAATATGGTACAAACTGTCTATACTGAAAGTTTGAAAGTTTATACGCACATTTTATACAGATAATAAACATATTTCATAAACAAATTATATACATTTTACCAGTGGCAGATTTGGGGGAGCCCTTTAGGTCGGCAGGGGGTCGTATCCCTGAGAGGGGCATCCGCCCTTGCATTATATTCAGATATTATATCGAATCTAAACCTTAAAATTTGAAGAAAAAAAGATTTTGACAACAATCGAAAAAAAAATCAATTTTTCAAACATCAGTCTTTCATGCATTTGCAAAAATTTTCTCAAATTCGACAACTTTTTTGGACTTTTTTAAAGAATCCTAATCAAAACTAATAGGCTTTTAATATGAACAAACACGAGCGTTCTTTGTGGTGGTTTCAGTTTTCTCGCATCAAAATTAAATAAAACGGACCCCACGTCATAGTTTCTGCCCACTATTTGAGAATTCTCAAAGCAAACCTCACTAATATGCGAAAAACTTGCAGCGCAAACTAATTTTTCTACACAGATGCGAAGCTGCAGCATCTAAACACTTGCGAGAAAGCCGTAAAGGTTCAGGAGCTTAAAAAAGCGCAAAACACAAATTTTACATGTAATAAATTGAAAAGTAATAAATTAGAGGCAATCACACTAATTGAATAAGGCAATGAATATGTTAAACTAAATTGCGTATAAATTATGCATTTCCAAAATTTCGTGAATTCATTCGAGCTGGAAAATTTCTGAAAAGGGATTTGATTTATTTAACTGTTGTATGAAACAAATCGCTTTTTTCGGTTCAATTGATGGATTATAAAAGCCTCAAATAAGTTAGCTTATTGCTAATCAAATGTCAAAGCACTTGCTATTATACTGCTAATGTAGCCTACTGATTCAAAAGTGCCAGCAAAAGTAGCACTTTTACTTGCGATATAGGTTGGAAAAAAATTGCATCGTAGTATCACACTGCGCTAGGCTCGTGTAAACAAGAAATTCTTTTAATCAATTTTTTTACACAAAATTGCTCTGGACATGTTAATCTTAGAATTGGCAATTGAAAAACTTTCTCTGAAAAGCGCTTCTGACACAGAGTAGAAGCAAAGCTTCGCACTACTTGCAAAGAAAAATACAAGTCGCGCAATCAAAACATCGAAGCTTTTGACCAGTTTTATCAAACAAACTAGGAAGCCAGTAATTGATTAAACAACAGTTTTATTTTAAAAAAAAATGACTATTTTTCAATTTTTCACGTTTAAAGTTTCTGAGTTTGTTAGAGAGGGCTTAGAAGAAGGATTCAGATTTGCAAAAAAAATCTCGTTCAGTCGTCATAACAACAAAAATTAATAGAACAAACCTATTGGGAAAACAAATCGACAAAATTGAAGCCGAACAATCTCGGTATCACAAAGTTGATATAAAATTAAGCAATGGTTCATTGATTTTGATCATCATCATCATCATCGTATGCTACGTTTGATTATGGTGCGGACATTGTGCCATCAGATGGGGTTCGCAGCACCAGACAATGTCGAACTGAAGCTCTTCGTAAAATACATTCCTGCAGGTCAGTTTGAGTACGGCAATGTTCCTTGATATCATTTTTTTACTCAACCTAACCAAGTCTTTCTTGGCCTCCCCCGTCTTTTAATGGATGATATTTTCTTCTCACTGGCCATTTTGATGCATGAAGCTGAGGCACCGCGCTCAACATGTCCAAACCATCTGAGTTATCTGCTCCGAAGGATGATGAGAATGTCACAAAAGCCGGGTTTACAAGACGTGCACCTGGGTCAAAAACACCGGGTTTAACACCGCAGATCCAACGGATCATTGCACGGTCATTTTATCAAAAACGCAGCAGATCTGACACATTGGGAACCTAAGTTTCAATTCTGTCCAGCAGAGTTGATCGCACACAAGAAGAGTACACTTTTTGGCGTATTAAAAATGAGAAGTGCCGCGAACTTAGTTCAGGGAAAAGTTTTTCCCCACCTGCACTGTGCATAACATCCAGGTAGCAGAAAGTTGGGTCATTATCGAGCGTAGTGCTTTCTACAGCAGTCGTGTTCGAAAGGCGACCGTCGATAGGCCGCGACAATCCAGTGATTCTGGGGCAAACATATTATGGGTTGGCTACCAGCCGGCCAGATATCGCGCAGCTTTTCTTGTGATCCCACAACTTGCACTGAGAGAAAGCATTGGAGTTACTTCCAACACCTTTAGTACAGACAGCACAAGGGTACTACCCAGAGCGCTCGAGGAGATCAAGGCCGATGCCTGAGATCAAGAACTTTGTGCTTTTCATGTAGACTCTCAGACCTTCACTCTCCATGCAAATTTTATAGATCCTGAGGCTAGCGATGCATTCATCAAGCGTATCTTCCATAAGAACAAAATCATCCGCATAGAGGAGTTCCCAAGTCACGCCTTTACGTTGATTTAATCGCTGAGGGGCTTCTGGGACGAGGATGAACAGAAATGGACTGAGAACAGAGCCCTGTGTACACCGACTTTCACTTCGAATTTTTCGCTAAACTGACCGTTTACTCGAGCAGGACTCTGGGCATTATAAAACATACCCTGGACGAATGCACTGCCCCACAGAGGAGTGCTAGGAGCAATGTTTTTTTATTTGTAGCTGTCGAACAGTGAATATGGCGTCAGTGGTACCACTGCTGGTACAAAGCCATACTGCATCTGGTCTTTACGCACCATCTTACGAACGATTGGATCGAGCACGCGATCCGCCAGCTTCACGACATGATCAGTCAACTTCAGTCCTCGATATTGCCACGACTTAGGGCATCTTCTTTGCCTTTCTGGAGGGTCAGAATGAAGCTTGCCTCCCAGTCTCCGGAAAGGACACCATTTTGGAAAACAGTTTCAGTTAGTTGCTTCATCATTTCGACGCCGAGATCTCCGGCAGCTTGCAACATCACAGCAACAATGCCAGAAGGCCCAGCGACTTTGCCACAGTTCACCTTGCTGAGAGCCCTGTATAAGATTTTTCTGGAAACTTCAGGCTCTCGCCCGAACTCTAGTTCGAACCGGATTAGCTCCATCTGCTTAGCCATCCAAAACATGTGATGTCTGCTGCTGAGGAGGAAAAATTCATCACAGTGGCATTTGGAGACTGTGGCGAATTCTTCCTTCTCAGCAGCAAATTTAGCAAGGTAGACAGTGTGTTTGACTTGCGCTTTGCTTCCAGAAAAGACTCGAGCATTTAGCGCTTCAGATGTCTTGCCTATCTTTGTCAAGGCATTGTAAATCTTGCAACGTGCGCGCTTCTTGTGCATAACGTGGTCAATTTGTTCATTTCACCCCCAAGTTTCAGGTCTCCACTTGTAACTTTTTGATTGGCTACACAAATCTGTGGCAGCCTTCAGATTCGGAAGCTTCAGGCGAGATCAGACAGACTCAACATGACAGGTTGTATAATTAGTAGCCTAAGCAGTTGACATCCCTTGTTTCTGAAGGACCTCTTGGAATTGGTTGGCTATGGCATCGTATCTACTCTTCTATGCGCGTATGCAAGGTATAAACTTGCACTTCTTCGTACGAGCTACGTAAACGGCGAGATCGCACATGACAGGGTGATGTTGTTGGACTCATTCCTCGTTAAGAATAACTTTAACATCACAAACGGATGTTAAACGACTTTCCACCTGTACACTTTGCCACCGCAAATGTCAACTATCCTCCTCGATGAAGTCTCCAGCTTTGCAGCTCCCCTGGTTTTCAGGGTACCCATATTCCAAGTGGCAACTCGGAAATTAGTCAAGATCGGGCGCTTGCATGATTTGCGGTACGAGCCAGACCCTACTTCCAACACCCATGAGAAAGTCAAACCCAAGACGTCATCTGCATTCCGCCTGAATGGGGTTCTGTTGAAGATTTTGCCATGAGATTGAAGCGAATTTTTGAATGGAGTGGTTGTTCTGCCTGACCTCCAACCTTAGCTTTAGGTGCTTGGGAAACCTGGATTTTCTGTTAGGGTGCCGACTCTAGCCGGTGCCAATATGTATATTATATGGCCGCCAGAGAGCGAAGGATTGAAATTGGAGTTTTCCTGCTCCCAGATGGGATACCCTCCCGGGTTTGAGGGGCCCATCTGCCCCAGGGGTAAAGACCCGACAGCCCTACAAATTTTACCTATTAATAAGGCAGTTAACCGAAAAAAAAAATATTTTTTTAACCAAAAAATACTGAAAAAATTTCAAGCTTGAATGGTTTTTTTAAATGAAATAGCTTAATTTAAAAAAATGGAATAGAATCTAATGACAAAAAATATCAAGAACAAAAATCGACAAGATCAACGAAAAAAGAACAAAAATTGTGCAGAAACTAACGAGCTATTTTATATTGACCAAAAAGATTACTATGAAACTAAAACAGCTGATCGTACAACCAAAAACAAAAAAGTCTGAACAAACTTTGCTTCTTCACCTGAGAATAAAAACCAAAAAAAGTTGACTCTTTTTTGCTTAATTTTTTTTCACTTTAATTTAAAAAAGTCTGAGTTTGATTAAAAATTTCCACAATTTCAGTTACAGAATTCCTTCTTTCCCATATATTACTTTTAAAAAAATTTTAAAAAAAACATAGGAAAAAAGCCGCCAGAATTGAAGGCCGAAAATCTCAGTTCTATCTCAGTGCCGAAAATAGAACAAAAAAATCGGTACCCTACAAAAACTCACTTGCAACCCTTAACGTAACACAACTAAACGCCGCGTCGTATCTGCATGGAGCTTTTACAGTTACCACATTTTTAAGCAACCATGCACTTT